CACCTTGAAAAAGAGGAAAGAAGTTAGAAGACCTGCTATTTGTTTTCAAGGGTAGAGATACAGAGAGCAAAACAGTGGGTCACTGGTGTAAAGATAGACACATAAAATAGATCCAGTATGTAGACATTTAATTTGTGTGTGTGTGTGTGTGTGTGTGTGTGTGTGTGTGTGTGTTACCAGGGATTGAACTCAGGATCTTGTGCTTGCCAGGCAAGCGCTTATTCTATTGAGCTATCTCCCTGGCCCCAACACTTAAATTTTTGACAAAATGCTATAATTCAGTGGAAGAAAATAGTGTATGGAAGCAGAGATCCATCCACAGAATGATGTATCTTGGTCTGTACTACACACATAAGCACTAACTCAAAGTGGATCACAGACCTAAACATGAAAGGCTAAAGCTAAAAAACTTTTAGAAGAAAATAGCAGAAAATCTCTATGTCATGGGGTTGGCAGAGATTTTTTGGGCTATAAACAGCACTAACTAAAAAGGGACAAACAATAAATTGGATTTGGTCAAATAGGAAAACTTTGCTCTTCCAAAGATGCCATTCAAAGCCAAGAATTTCAGAGCCTTGTAAAAACACCACTTAAACACGTAGAGGAGGGCTGGAGATATAGCTCCGTGGCACAGTGCCTGCCTTCTCGGCAAGTGCAAGTTCCTAAGTTCAATTCCCAGCATCAACACACCACACACACACACACACACACACACACACACACACACACACACACACAGACAAGTGTGGTGGCACAAGCTTGTAATCCCAGCTCTCTTGAAGCCAGGAAGGAGGAGCACAAGTTTGAGCCCAATCCGGCCAATTTAGTGAGAGCTTGTCACCAAAAAACAAAACAAAAACATTGAAATACAGCTCAGTGGGAAGGCCCTGGGTTTAGTCCCCAGTATAAAAACCAAAAAAAACACATAAAGGACTTCATATTTTTTTAAAAAAAGTTATAGTTTCTCTGCTCTATGTTTCAATCCAACGAAACACATGGTTTCTTTTCAAGTGAACCAATAGAACATGTAGTATAAGAGGATCATTGTTGAAGTTTTAACTCCCGTGACTGAAACAGACCCAGTGGTCCATTCAGCAATGCAAAGCAACGCCATGTAGTCAGAATGACTTCAGACTGTGGTCATAGAGAAAGACAAAGGGCCAAGACAAGTACAGATGTCTGTTTGGTCCAGCAGTGAGGACACACGTGGGGAAAATGAACCAGCGTGTCCGAAGCCAGACAGACTGGGAATAAACTGTGAAGAGGAAGAGTGAAGGGACTGGGAGACCAAGGTGATTCAGCAGCGAGGCTCAACGCAATGCTAGTGGTGCTTGACCCTGTTTCATAGTTGCTGCCTCTTGACAGCTTTGAACTTCCAGAGCGAAGCAGACATACATGGTTTGAGATTTTTAAAGTCTGACAAAATTTGAAACCTTTACCAGTTAAGAAAATTGATCGCTAAAGGTCTCTTTTCAGGGAACTGGACACCGAACCCTGCAGTTCTCTTGAGCTTTAGCCTTAGTGACTGTTCATTCTCTGGCTCTCACTACCTTTGACTAATACAGGTATGGTGATGCTGACAAGCTGCATGGTTGCTTTTTCCATATCCTGTCTCCAAGCACGTAGTCTTTATTGTCCGTCTCCCCATGAAGTCTTGTGATTCTCTTGTAGTCATGTGACTTGGGTCTTGATCAATGGCATGTGGGAGAAAAAGGACACGTACTGCCTCTAAGAACAGCCAGTATGTGCTCCCTACATCTCTGTGTGTTCAG